ATTTTATAACACTAACAATTCTTCTCTATTTCAAATTTGTTATTTCTAGATCTTTCTAGAACACTATAACGCCTAACTAGTTTAAAAATTTAAATGCATTTTCATCTAATACCGGTTTACATATAATTTGTTTTGTTTTGTGATTTACTTTCTTATTAATAGGATGTTATCTGTGCTTTGTATCTATTTACCAGTATTATAATTTGAGACATGTTGATACTTGTATCACTAAGTGATTCTATTATTAGCTAACGCTTTCTAATTGCTAAAAATAATGTGTAACTTAATGATTTATGTTTTATATAATATTTACATTGACCATTTGATTGTATTGTATGCTTATTTGTTATACGTACTGTATACGCATGGGCATATTGCCCGAATGTACTTTGAAATAAACTCTTGAAACTCTATAAATATTGTTTATGCTGGAAAGTATGCATACGAAAAGGTACAGACGAAGAAAAAAACTATGATAAGTGTATACAAATGTCTAAACACCAACCTTCAAGTACGCCTCAATGCTATCATCAAAATTCTCATAAATGGTGTTTGCTTTGGCGCCATTTTTCCATTGTGGATATCTGCATAAAAACATTTCTGTAATTAGCAAGCCCTTTATCCACTCTCTTTCTTTCTTGGATCCATCTTCGGACATGCATCACAGTTTTCATAATATCTTTTGTATATCCTCCGAGATTAGCTAAATGATCAACAATGTCAGACTAAACTTCAAGTGCATCATTCCACTACTTATTGCTTTGCATCAACAATGCTAAACTTTAGCGTAAATTTTCGTCTCTTGGGATCTTAGGTCTTCTTTTACCTGACCCATAATATATCTGGACAGTTTCCCGCCTGATCTACGTAATGAGGTTGGCTGTTAAGAATTTGTGAGCAACTTTTTTGTCTGAGCCTAAACAATCATTTGAAAAAGATTTAAAAGGAAATTCCTCAAAAATCAGATAGAAACTTTTTATATCACAAAGTCGCGAATATTTTGTAGAATAATGATAACTGTTATTGGCTTTGACTTTAATATTTCCCAAAAAATTGAACTATACAAATAATATCATCAAGCAAAATAACGACACATCTGTCCAATATTGATTACATTTAGAGTAAGATGAAAGAGTAAGATGTAAAAAGAATAAGCATACGCGTGCTGGTTTGCACAATGTTTCACATTACTACAGTAATGTTAATACTAATTTATATGTGCATTAATTTGTGCATTTCGGTAACAGTAGATCATTCTATTCCTTAAAATTGCAGAACAATAGACCAATGTTTCAACAGGTTTCTAAAAACTCTCGTCATGTACTCACATAAGTTAATTTTCAGTGATATAGATAAACAGCTGACTTCTATAGGCGCTTATTGTAAAGGATATATAAAATGTGCTCAAAAGCGTACCGGACATGATGAGCAAATGCACTGTGTATAGTATATAAAGTGAGCTGTGAAAATGATTAAATGCCTACATCATCTTCTTCATTTTTTGTATTATCATAATCATTGTCATCGTCATAATCATCATCGTTTTTGTCATCATTTTTTTAGACATTCATGGAAAGTAGAGGTATCAGACGGAGTAAGTAGTTTGTTGGCTGCCAATATTATAATGATAACAAGGCATATAATAATATGCAGGTATTAACATGTATTACATAGTACTTCAATATTCTTGAGTTTTCATGAAAAGTGGGAAATTAAGGAAATATCTATATTTACCTTAATGCAATTATGTTTATGATTTAAGTTTTGATATCATCATTAGATAGAAGATATTGAATGCACATAGGTTCAATAGTGGATTTATTGAACAAGTAACATACAAAAGCATATGTATTCTACATCTTATAAGATTGAACCAATGAACTTCCAGCGTTAACACTATGTAATTTACATATATAAATCTTAATCGGATTCAATATTAGCAGTCAAGCCTAGATAATATTATAAAATTTTATCAAGTCATTTGCTTTTACGATTTTATCAAGTAAAGTGCAATATCTGAGAATTTATTTTGAATATTTAACAATGATTTCGATGATATTAAGCCAAATATTACCAGAAAAAGATTCAAATTTTGATTTATGTCTTGAAATTTCTTTATGATGTCCAGGACAGTATATTCACAGTACTTGCTATACCCAGTACACTGAACACTGCTGAACGTGTGTACTTTTCATCACTGTAGAAGTCAATTATTATAGCATAAAATCGGCTATCTTTTGCCCATGTTATAACGGGCCAAAACCATGCGTTAACATAGTCACGCGCTCTTGTTATAGCCCGGTTTTACCTATGCGGTTTTACCTATACAGGGCCAACAAAGTAATCAAACAAAAAAAGACGATTTGCCCTGTTTGCCAAAGTGTTATTTTGAAATTATTGATTCCAGGGGCCTCAGTCGCATAACGGCGACTAGCATTCAAGTAACTATGCCGAAGACATCGCCGCTTATCTTGGTTGTCGCCCTTTCTAAGAAACGGACAGTTGTCAAAGTAAACAAATAAATGTCATTCAGTTTAACCCTCAAATTAACTAACACAAAATGATTATGAGAAAATGTTGTTTTATTGTTAATATTGATAAATGCTATTTATATTTCTTTGAGAGAATAATGTTTAGTGCTTGATATTCTTTTATAAACTTGTAAGCTTGGAAAAAAACGATTCTGATGTCACTGATCTTTTTTCTACCGTCAATCTGTAATCATTCTAAGAATTTTCTGAGAATCACGTTTCATTTTGGGCAGAGTAATTTTATGTTATTATTTTTTTCTTGAGTTAATAAATCTCAAATGATAAGCTTTGTTAAATCAATTAAAATTCGAATTTTTGAACGATTCTGAGCATTTGAATTTCCCAAGTAGTTGGCCCCGGAAAAATAAAACGCATACGTAAAACATGAAGTATTGGATAAATACCGTCCAAGCACAAGGATTTAATGTAATTGTGTTTTGTATTTAATATACTTCATGAACCTTTTTTAAAATTTTATGCTATAATAGCATCAACACACTTTTATTTCGTGTTATAATTACTGCAGAGTCCCTCAGAACTGTTGGAGCCCTCGTCCTACCGGGCTCGGGCACCAACCGTTCCCCGGGACTCTGCAGACGTTATAACACGAAAAAACGTGCGTTAACCCTATATTGAAATTTTGTATATAAATACATGAATACACGCGGAGAGGCTTGAGGCATCTGCCGATTCAGAAATTTTATTATAAAGAAACTAGATTTTTTCGTACTCGGGGAATAATTTTTTCCTGGAGCAAATGTTTTTTACAAAAAGAACATCAACTCTTGTTGGTGTCAATGTTAATATATGAGCCGTGTCACACCAAAACCAACATAGTGCGTTTGCGACCAGCATGGATACAGACCAGCCTGCGCATCCGCGTTTTATCGAGTTTATACCATAACCAGAAAGGTTATGTAATGGTTTCTCAATAATTTTTCAGACTTTGAATAAAAATATAATATCAAAACACATCGCTATCAGAAATTGTTACATCGGATTGATTAGGAAAGATTCATCGAGGGTACTATCGATTAGCGATTAAAACATTTCTATTATTCATGTCGATTGGTTTGCATCAGATATGTCTTGTTAATAAAATATTTTTTTTTACCGACTTGTTTTTTTTTCTGCCTTTATTCAGTTTAAATTACCGACATAAAATTATTTTTATAATCTTTACGCTGTTAAACAAAAAATAAATTTTAGACTTTTCCATGATTTAAATATAAAACAAGCCATTTCGTTGAATTTATATCCCCAGCCAAGTACCAGTTATCACTAACACAACAACTCGAGACATAAGGCTTTATTTATATATTTATCATTGCATAAACAGCAATATTCTTTGTACACTATAAAAATTCAGGGAAATAACAGAGATCATAACTCTAGACATTAGACATGCCAACGAGATGCAAACTGCCTTTTTGTATTGATGGTTCCCATAGAAAAATGTTGAAATCAATCCATCAGTTGCAAAGAAATGGCAAAAGTGCTCTATATGCATAGTACATAACTGATCAAGGGTCATAACTCTGTGTTGAAGGGTCCGACCTGAACAAATCAACGATATGCGCATCTTCTCTTGCCTTGGTATTGATTCTTCCCATATAGTAAATGGAATTCCAGCCAGAAGTTGCAGAGAAATTGCGCGGAAACAAGTATTGCTCCATATGCATTTTGCACAACGAATCGAGGGCCATAACTCTGTGATGGGGGTCTGACCAGAATCGATTATTGCTCTATATGCATACTCAAGGGTCATGACTCTGTGTTGAAGGGTCTGATAGGAACAATGCGAAGTTATGCGCATCTCCTCTTGGTATTGATGGTTCCCATAAAGTTTCGTTGAGTTATAGCCAGTAGTTGTAGAGAACTAGCGTGGAAACAAAATTCAGACGGATGGACGGACGGCCAACGCAAAAACAATATAACCCTCCCGATTCCATCGGCGGGGGATACTTAACTGGTTGGGTATCAGTGGCAGATTGGTTCAAATCGTTGAGTTCAAACCACTTACTTCTCATTGCAGTTGGTGTGAATCCCGCCAGGAACTTTGAATTCTTTCATGTGAAGAAAGTATTCAGCTAACTAACGGAATAAAATCGGTCATTCTACTCAGGTGCCCGATCTTGCATTATAAAAGGAGGGGTACCTTAAGTCTTCCTCCACCAGTAAAGCTGGAAAATTGCCATATGATCATTTCATTGCTGATGTAACTTTATTAAAAAAGCATCAATTAAGAGCGACAAAATAACATGTAAAAGCAATACTGTGCGATTTTAAAATAAAGTAGGCAAAAGTATGGAAGATATATATGGCCGGTAATTTTTTTCTTTTAAATGAATAAATAAAGTATACGATATTATAAGTTATAAAGGATGTTTGAGCAGATATCAAGTAGGGCAATGTAAACTGCTTCATATTCATATGAGCAGTATGTAAATAACAAATCTGACGAATAAATTCTCCGAATAAAGCTTTATTGACATATTCATATACATGCGCTAACTATATAATGGTGAAAAAATCTGTTTATTTATCAATGACCAGGTGATATAATTTTTATTTTTTATATTCAGATATTGTTTAAAAAGAAAAAAAAACCTAAATAATACAATTCATTCACTTTTAGAAACGATAAAGAATAAATAAATTATCGATTTGTATTCTGCTTATTGTGGTATACATGCGATCAATATATAAATATAGAACTCTTTTCGCATTTTATATTATGTGTTAAATTGATTCAAGACTTTTTTATAAACGGTTTTTACGTACAAAGTCAACAGAACACCAAACATTTAATTTGCCGAAAACAAAATATTATCACTTCAATCACAAAGATAAACGTCTCTATGTTATGCGGTTCCCATGTTACTTTGCAAAAGAAGAAAGATGTACCCACCTTTATCTAAGATACCTTATATAAATAAAATAAAAAAGAAGAAAAAATATATCTTCTTCTAATAAAGTGCAATTATCCTTACCGTGACTTTTAAGGTTTCGCATAAAATGCTTACTTTGTTGTTTTGTGAAAACAATTGTGTCATTACAGGAACTGCAATCTTCGAAATCATAAAATATTATATAACATGCTATCATTTAACAACCACTCTAGAAGATAATATGAAAGACTTTGACATTTATCATACCTTTCCAAAATTAAACGGTGAGTGTTCTGGTAAGAACCAAAATAACTTTACATTTTGTCATAGTTGTTTCCAATTTTATGATAAACGTCAGCTAAGTAGTCAATAACCATGTGACAAACATAAATATGTTTACGTTTTCTTTGTAACTTATTGTAATCACCTTTTATTAAAAGAGTGGGACAGTCTTTTAATAATTTAGGCAGTTTTTATATTGTATCCTAAACATTTTTCATTATCAATTTTTGTTCAACCACGATTAAAATAGTCAAGCTTTTGAATTATACAACAAATTTATCTCAGCTTGACAGTGAAAAATGAGAATAATGTCAGTTGGTAATGTTTATTAAATGTTATCTTACTAGAAATATTCATATTTTATATAAGCTACATAAGCAGTACAACAACAAATGATACAGAAATGAGAAAGCAAACTGTAAAATTAAAAAAAATACGTTATAAGTACAAATAACCTTTATATTATCAATTATGTTAGTATAACAATATTTTTTTTGCAAATATTTTTTTATATATAAACATACACTACGTAATTCTACACAATATACAAAAGGGTTTGACCAAAGGATTTTGTAACCTCATGTGAGACCCTCCCCTGTATGCCTAAATGCCTAACAACAATTCCATTCATCAAAGTCATAAAGTTAAGATTAATCAACGAAAAAATGAATTAAGTAAGTAAACAATTTTATTAATAGAGTTCAATTGACGTTTGAAAAGAAATATTCAACGAGGAAATAAAAATTGCTTTATTATCCAACAGTTGTGTGTCAAACAAACAAACAACAAGAAAAAACGCCACCACTTACCAATCTATGCACCAATCTGAAACATTTACACATTTGTAAGAGCGATCAGGGATCACATGTTTCCCCTGCATATTGTAGCTGCTAAGTAGCTGGAGACACAACAAGAGCAGTCACAGGAGACAGCGAAGCTCGACTAATAAAATACTGGACGCATTAAGAAGGGCAAAACTATGAAAGAAAAATCAATTATGTATAATTATGTATTAAAATATAGTTAAATAACAACATTTGTTAACATAATTCCAAGATCAAGGGGAATAATTCTAGAAATAGTCATGCTAGAGTTATGAACCTTGTCACACAACATGTGTGTAATGATAAGAAATATAATAATATTTGAAGTTGAAGTAGATACCTTAAAAAGTAAAGAAGTTATAATATTTCTTAAAGAAAATCCTAAGTTCAAAGAGAGATAAATCTGTAAATATTGCTTCAAGAGTTATGGACAATATCACATAAAATGTAATTGATGATAAGGAATCAGGATTTGAAGTTTGAGGTAGATACCTTTAAAACTAAAAAAAAAGGAAAAAAATAACATTTTTCTAGTAAAAAAAATCTAAGTTTTTGGGGAGATAATTCTTGCAATATTGGTGCTAGAGTTATGAACATTGTCACATAAGTTGTGGATGATGATAAGGTACATATATTTGTAGTATGAGGTTGATCCCTTAAGTAATAAAGAAGTAACAGTAAAAAATAGTATTTTTTAAGCAAAATTCTAAGTTCCAGGGGAGATAAATCTGAAAATGTTGGTGTTAGAGTTATGAACCTTGTCACATAAGATGGGGATGATGATAAGAAACATATATTTGAAGTATGAGGTTGATCCCTTAAGAAATAAAGAAGTTACAGTAAAAATAGTATTTTTTAAGAAAAATTATAAGTTCAAGAAGAGATAAATCTGAAAATATTGGTACTAGAGTTATGAACATTGTCACATAAGATGTGGTTGATGATAATAAACATATATTTTAAGTTTGAAGTTGATACCTTAAGAAATGACAAAATTATAGTGAAAAATATTTTATTGCACCAAAACTTTAATCTGAAATCTGGACGCGGACGCCGACGGCGGAGCGAGTTGGATAGCTCTCCATATACTTCGTATAGTCGAGCTAAAAATTAAAAAAGGCCAAAACATTTATTTATTGAAAGGCCATAATTCAGCCAAAATCACTCAACCGAAAAACATATAAGTTATGCACAAGTACACGAGATGCCGATCTTTCAATAAAGTTTAACTCAAAATGCATCAATTGTATAAGAGAAATAGTCCTCTAAAACAACAACAACAGCAGCAACAACAACAAACAAAACACCCCCCCAAAAAAAAAAAAGCTAAAAAAAAAAAAACACAAAAAAATAACCACACTAAAACTAAATATTTGGTTAAATATGTTATTAAAGATTGCTTAAGTATGTTTTTAACTTGTTACACAAGAAAAACAAAAGGGTTGAAAAAGAAGGCCACTAATAGAACTCAAGAAAAGTAGAATACAAATACAAATGAAAATGCAAAAAGAAGAAGAAAAGGTTATGGTTCTTTCTCCTTCAATGATTATTAATTACATTGACTAACTAAAACATGATCATCATAGCAATTTTAAGTGAGGGCCTTCTATGTCAGTGAAAGAGCATCGAAACACGACGTTATCTGATTTGTGCGAGGGGGCGTAGCCCCCCGAGTACTTATCAGATTGCCGAGTGTTTTGATGTTCTTTCTCTTTTGTATCATAGTCAAACATAAAAACACGTTCCCTGATGTCACAATATGAAACCCCGGCAAAAAGGAACCAATGAACGAACATCTGCATATGATATTTCTGTCGCTTTCCCTTTCTCTGCCGTCGCAATATGTAAACCCCAGCAAAAATGAGCCAATCAATGAGCATGCTCTGGAGTGCGGGTAACTTAAACCTGTACTCCAGTTAACGCACGGTTCATGTATATGTATACGATTTAACTCTGACACATTTTCAACAGAAACGTCCCCAAACTATGATACAAAACAGAACATACAATTAGTTTGATTCGTTATTCAAAAAGATACACAGATCAATAAAATGCGTCACATGGTAGTGATTTCACAAAGTCTAATATTATAATGAATATATAGGAAAATATAAGTTTATGGGTTTTCTTAAGATAAGATATATATTACAAGTATTTAAAACAATCTTAAAAGCAAGACACTACCAGAAACCCTATTGACAAATTGTTGATCTTGTTTATCATATTTTTTACAGAATATTGTATACAATAGTTAACCCACATATTATCAATTGTGATATTCAATCATTAGATTAAAACATACAAACAAAAGGGCCCAGGGGGCCTGGATAGCTCACCTGAGAAATAGATCAAAAGGTCAAAGTGGAGCCCTGTTTCATCTCAGAAGCACAATTTGAAAACAATGAAAAGAAGGTTAATCTGAACAATTTTGTACACTGTCACCAAGGAAATTTTTGTGTAAAATTATTTCAAAATTGAAGCAATGGTTTAGATGTTGTTGTTTTCTAATTTTAGCTCTGGCAGCCGTTTTATTTAACAGTTCAGCCTGTCACAAAATTAGAGGTGAGCTAATAAAAAGATGACAGAAAAACAGAAGGAAAACAAACATTTGACCTAACTGGGGATTGAACTGACGCCCTCAATTCCCTGGGGCGGGGCCAATTTTGACCCTAGAGATTTTATTTGAAAAACATGGTAGACAAACATTGTACACTAGAACATGTTTCATGTCAAACATGTAAGCTCTACCTCTTTTGAATATTCACAGGAAGATTTTTAAATCTGTAACAATATACAGATAAGAAAAATCAATAGCCCCTGGGGCGGGGCCAATTTTGAACCTAGAGCTTTTATTTGATAAACTTGGTAGACATCAACTAGAAGATGTTGCATGCCAAATATCAAAGCTTAGACTATTTTGGTATTTTACTAGAAGATCTTTTAAGACTTTTTTTTGTAAAAAAATATTTCGGTTGCCATGGCAACTAGAAATCTTTATGGAATTTAATTCTTTGAACACAACCTGCAAAGTTTCAACAAATTTGGCAAAGTGATTTAGGAGGAGACGTTATTAAAAGAAATTGTTGACGGATGCACGAACGCACGCACGGACGATGGACGACGGGCAATGGGCCATCACAAAAGCTCACCTTGAGGACATTATCCTCAGGTGAGCTAAAAACACGGCAAATTTATCTATTATTTATATTTGACAGATTAATGCAATCAATAATTATTTACAAACTTACACATGCTATATACACAAGTTTCTCAGACGAAACAAAATAAAACAGCCCGTCTAAGATTTTGTTTCTATTAAGTTGGTAAGTATACAAGAGTCAGAGACAGGCAAATTTAGAATTAAAAAGTCTTAAAATGTTATTTACAACCTACTATTTATATAAAGATCTAAGCAGTTAAAGAAATTTAACAATTTTCAGGTTTTAGAGTAGTAATTTGTTTGAATTAAGCCTTACCTAAAACAATTTTGCTATATTATGATGTTACCAAAATATCGAGTTTGTGAGACAATATCAACATTAGATTATTTTAACATTTACAGAAGGAACATTTTGATAAGACGTATATCTGCTAGTTTATTATTCTGTTTTTGCGCCGATTTTGTTTTTTCTTCTTCTTATATCGGCGATAGATCAATCTATCATGCTTTCCTGGATGACTATCAAGGAGGTACTAATTTCCTCGCAGAAGACTGACTTTTTATCAAATAGGATTATCTAAATCAACGGTGAGAGACAAATGACCATAAGATCAGTTAAAAGCTTTTCATACAGAGACATGCAGTACTTTGTCTTTCAAGATAACGTTGAGCTTCAAAACACATTCTAACAGTTTTTACACATATAATTATCTTGGTAAACATATTAATCTAGAATGCATACACTAAAAAAAACTAAGTACGCTTTAAAGTGACACCATGATCTTAACATTACATACAAATAATTGTGCAATCAGCAAGAAATAAATATTTTCTTTATATTGGAATCAATAGAATCAATGCATATAGAATTGTCATAATTTCAGTTTGTTTGTTTTTGTTTTTTTTTAACCGGTGAAAATAATTCGGTACAATTTTCAGGGTTTTGTGTTCCATCCTGTGTCTAAATATATTATTATATATACAAGATAAACCAATTAGAGTAACATACATGTATAATACGTATTTTCAAGACAATGGCAAACAAAAACAAGAGGGCCATGATGGCCCTTAAGCCGCTCACCTGTATATAGGCCCCTGGAGCGGGGCCAGTTTAAACACCAGGGCTTTTGTTTGAACAAACTTGGTAGACACCCATTAGAAGATGTTTCATGCTAAACATCTAAGGTCTAGCTTGTCAAGTTTTTTTTTTACACATATAGTTAAAAACAATGACACACCTAGGGCATGGCCAGTTTTGACCCAAGGGATTTTATTTGAACAATCTTTGTAGGCACTTACTAGAAAATGTTTCATGCTTAATATCTAAAATCTAGCCATTTGGGTTTTTTTTAAAAAAAAAGCTTTTTAAGTTTTTGCTATACACATATAAGGAAAATCAATGTCCCTCGGGCCGGGGCCAATTTTGACCCTAGGGCTTTTATTTGAACAAACGTTGTAGACACTCACTAGAAGATGTTTCGTGCTTAATATCTTAACTCTAGCTATTTGAGTTTTTTTCAAAAAAAAGCTTTTTAAGTTTTTGCATTATACATATAAGGAAAATCAATGTCCCCCGGGCTGGGGCCAATTTTTACCCTAGGGCTTTTATTTGAACAAATTGTTGTAGACACTCACTAGAAGATGCTTCGTGCTTAATATCTAAACTCTAGCTATTTGAGTTTTTTCAAAAAAGATTTTTTAAGTTTTTGTTATACACATATAAGAAAAATCAATGACCCCCGGGGCGGGGCCAATTTTGATCCCAGGGCTTTTATTTGAACAAACTTGGTAGACACTCACTAGAAGATGTTTCATGCTTAGTATCTAAACTCTAGCTATTTGTTTTTTTTCAAAGATGATTTTTTTAAGTTTTTGCTATAGACATATAAGGAAAATCAATGACCCCCAGGGCGGGGCTAATTTTGACCCCAGGGCTCTTATTTGAACAAACTTGGTAGGCATCCATTAGAATATTTTTCATGCTAAATATCTAAGCTCTAGCTCTTTGGGTTCTTTAAAAAAAGATTTTTTTTTACTTTATGCATATAGGGAAAATCAATGACCCCCTGGGGCGGGGCCAATTTTGACCCCAGGGCTTTTATTTAAACAAACTTGGTAGACACCCATTAGAAGATGTTTCATGCTAAATATCTTAGCTCTAGCTCTTTGGGTTCTTTAAAAGAAGATTTTTTAAGTTTTTACTATATGCATATAGGGAAAATCAATGACCTTCTGGGGCGGGGCCAATTTTGATCCCAGGGCTTTTATTTGATCAAACTTGGTAGACACTCACTAGAAGATGTTTCATGCCAAATATCTAAGCTCTTGCTCTTTGGGTTTTATAGAAGAAGATATTTAAGTTTTTTCTTTTGGTTGCCATGGCAACCAGAGTTCTGCATGGAATTAAATTCTTTGAACAATTTTCAAAGGTGACTACCAAAGGAACATTCCTGTGAAGTTTGGATGAAATTGGCTCAGTGGTTTATGAAGAGATGTCATTTAAAGTAAAAGTTTACAGACGACGGACGGACGACGGATGGACGCCGGACGAAAAGCGATCAAAAAAGCTCACCCTGTCACTTTGTGACAGGTGAGCTAAAAACATAATCAATAATAGAGATTTTGCAATCCAATAAGTGATCAAAACATCTTTTGCAAGATTAACTGTTTTAATGTCAATGCGGGTTGTTCATTTAATATATGAAATTAATGGACGTTAAGTATACGTGTAAGTTTCCCGATGTGTAAGACAATGTCAAAGGATTTTCAAAGTCACTGCCAGCTTAAATTTGAAAATACTTTCTTGATCAATCTTGAATAATATAACCATTTCAGTTTATATAACAGAACTTATTCTCATTATCATTAAAATAATCACTTTGTATATCTTGATTGTACCAATGACAAGGTTTATCGAAACATGTTAAGCTTTGACTTACAAAACAAATCTTAGATTAGTTATATTAGAAGAAATAAACAATTTAAAAACCCTTTTTATTAACTTTGTTTAAGAAATGCCCTATTATTTACCAAGTGTAAATATGGTTTTGTAAGCACCTGGACAAACGTTTATTTTTTAATCAATATGTCTATAACAATCTAGTAAAATCCTTTGTCTGTATTTATTTACCAAGAGCTCTGTACTGCAGTAGAGTTGAAGCCTGGGGTTAGTACAGCAGCTCGCAATTTTTTCCTCGAATAGTCAAGCTAAAAAGTTAAGCCTATCAGTTTAATACTTCGACTCATTTATATTTACCTAAGGCTGTGCGTATATTCTGATGAAAGCTTTACTTGGTATACATTACTGTTTCATTATTTTTCTAATGTTTTAGCATCGTTTGTTCATGCAACGATAAATTGGAATTTGTCTTTGAAGGTAACGACGAATGAAAACATTGCGTCATCATGCAAGTTTTGTCCCATTTGTCTAGAAGGTTGTGTTGTAGTAGTTTTGCGAGAGCTGGCTTGTGACTCAAATTATCCCAAAATGACTGTTTGAATACATATTTGAACTCTGTTGCTTTACATAGCGTAAAATTCCTCTAGTACGTTTAAGTAATTCTGCATTAAGAAATAAAGTATGGGAAGTACAAAAGGCGATCGCTCGAAATCATAATAGGAGTTAGCAATGGTTCATAAACGCTCATTTTGTACAGTAAGAAAGAACATTCACCAACATTGTTTCAAGCTGTTCTTACTGCTCATACTTTTTTAAGTTATAACCTTGAAAATTCAACATGAAAATATGGTGGGTACCTATTTCAAACTTTTTATTAATAATATTTTTTTTTAATTTAATATTAAAAAAATTGTTTTTAACAAAATTAAAAAAAAAAATATTATTACTAAAATCACTTTACTACAAATTTGAATAGAATTGAGGGAAGTTTTCTTAAAAATCAGTTTGAGTAATTTTTGCCAGTATTTACCTCAGGATAATGCATAAGATTTTCTCAGTATTTCTCTGTTTGTAAATTTTGTAAACGCATCAATAACAAACTATTTATTAGTTTTCCAGCCGATTGTTTTGCAAAATCTATTCATCAGTGATGGTTTCTCGATTACACCGTGTTGATGCAGCTCATCGTTAACCTTAGATTCTTCTACAAAGAAATGTTCTACGAGTTTTCCATATTGTGCCTCTTTTTTATATGACTCAAGTTCTCGGATTCTATCTTCGAATCCCCTTTTCTTCTGATTTCTTTCCGCCTCAATAAGTATGTCTAACTGCTCAACAAGACTAAGCGGATTCGGACGTAAAGCTATCTCCTTTAATTTGTTATTACATGATGTGATTTTCTGCATCATGCCAGCTATGTTTCTCTTTAATTCTTCTATTTCTATTCGCATTGCTTGCAAAACACCTTCTCCTGAAAGTTTTTTGCCCATTGCTTCTTCATATTTATCTTTTTTTTTCGAATATGGTTCATAAGTAACCTCAATTTTAAGCTCCCAGTAAAATCCCATGTTTTTATGTTGTGACCAATGACATTTTTTTGCGCATTCCGTGCAATTGCTTCGTGATCCACCCATTGCTGCGCAGTATTGTTTATCGCTGTCGTCACTGAATATACAATGTTGGTGGCAAGTGAAATTGCAAAGTAGGCAATTTGTAACATACTGTCCAGCCTTAGTATCATGTTTTATTACTTTCGGATGTTCTGTAGGAATAAGAAAATCTTTATTCTGCTCTATATCCAGTTTGTGTTGTTCGATAAATTTAATCTCTTTTCGAATGCTTGCGAGTTTACTCAAGCCAACATCAACCAGTGGGAGAAGATTTTGAATGGTATTCTCTATTTGTTTGCGAGTATCGAGAACTGATTTTGTTTGTGCGAGACTTGTCGTGTGCATTTTACCCAGGGACTCAAAGAAAGCAGCAAAACTTCTTGTTCCCATGTCCCAGTAAATTGGAGAAAGACTATTTGGACCAATGTTAACATTTTCACAAAATAATGCAGAATTGTTAAATGTGAAATCTTTTCCAAACGGAAGTTTTGATTCTTTTAAAGCAGCAAGTACCGGGGGTTTTTGGCCATCGGCAAATGTAATCAATGAGCACATGTTTTTTTCTACATCTTTCCCAAACAATGACATTATTGACTCAAATATATATCTTTGTGTATGTGTTAATCTTGCATCTGGTGCTTTGATCAAGAAACAAATAGCATCTATACCTAATACACCCTTCTCATCTCTTGATGAGAATAAAGTGTGTATTTGATCAACTAATTTCTTGTCTCTTTTTTGACCCCTTGTATCTCCGAATCCAGGAGTATCAATGATGTTTAAAGCATATTCAATTCGTCCGCCTCTTTCGGGAAACAACGTGTATTGGGTAATCCAGTCAGTTTGTGAAAATGCCTATAACATGATTGGAGAAAATTAATGATAAGAGTAATATTGTTATTATATCATTACCCCCGATGAACAGTAATAGTTACATTTTACATAGCAAGTTTATAATCGAATTCATTTCATTCGGTCTATTTCAAGCCTGTATATCCAGTAACGCCGGAATGTGAAAATAACGCGCGATTTGTGCAATAGATAACGCAGAATTAGTGCAATAAATGGCGGTTACAGCAATGCATATTATACCGTTTAATTTCGAAGCTGGAAAGGTTTTTTTCATACATGGTACTGAATTGTTACACAGGTTTAACGCCATTAATCGGCGAGTATAAGCACTTATCAAATATTTTTTGTGGGGAAACGTTAATTCATTTTATACAGAATTTATTTAATTTTAATTGCGTAGAAAATATAGATACAGTCGAATCCATTCCTGAAACCACAGAGCTATAAGCGTCGTAATATAAGTCTTTGTTGAAGTGAGTACAAAGCAATGCGTGAACAATTTCTTACTCAAGGAAACAACGGGGTAGCAAAGGGGAAGCAATTTCTCAATTTCATTTTAGATGGTAGTTATGAAAATGGGCTTTGTTCTCAGTTTTTATTAATTATTTGACATGGTAAACACCAAGATGACAACTTTTAGACCTTCATTACATGGATAAATAAAACCTTCACAAACACATCTCTAGTAGACTCCATATACATGGTTTTGCTCAGCTGTGAAACATGGAACAGTTCATTCAAAGTCTGAGACATTGCTATTAGATATTTCATGTGTTTGTACAAATGAGCTACCTGAGTAAGCAAATGGTCATTATATGACTGTATGGCTCTGTACTGGTGGCCTCTTTTGGTGTCATTGATCCTGTAAGTTTTGTAAACGTCTATAGTAATGCCTAGTATTAGATTCATATGTTTTTCCCATTTAAGTTAATATATAAAAATAAACACTTAGAGTGGGCTTAAAACTTTACCAAAAGGGCTATACTTTATTTAACCTTAGCAGAGGACAATGAGGTTATGCTATTTACAGAAGTTCAGCAGGCAAATTGCTACAGCCAAATATTTGTTTAAGTTGGGTTTCACATCACGCCAACACAGTAAATGACATATGGAGACTTTCAAGCTTTACTGGTGCATTATTTCAGGCGTGAAAATACAGGAACTTCTTCTCTTAATCGTTTTCTATTATATTTATTTCAATTTATTCTCAAAGGAATTTTATTGTTCTTATTTTCTAACAAGATCAGACGTGGGCAACATGTTTGCAAATAATATTTTATTTCAGGAAACTTGTATCGCATTGTATTAAATTACGATATGCAATCAAAATGATGAAAGTTTGTCAAGATCTACGTAATTAACATATATTTGTTACTAAGTTATGAAGAAAATACATTGACTAGGTCACACATAACTGGATTACATTCGCTGTTAAAATGCGTTAAACCTGTGTGATAATTCAGTACCATATACTAACCGCGTCAGGTATCCGCCATTTTTTGCACAATTCTGCGTTACTTATTGAGTGCGCTATTTTCACATTCCGGCGTTACTTGATATACACGGTGCTGTAACTCAATTTGATTTGATATAAAGAAAATTGACAATTATGACTTTAACTTTTTAGTCCGAGACATAATTCTTTTTTACGAAACATGTCAGCCTTAAAATCCAACAAATCTATGCAAATCAGAATTGTTGACCGGCCAAGTACGGTGACACAAAGGGGACATGTGTGTGTTTTTATTTATCTCGTTCGCTCGATATACTATGTCGTGGCCACGAGTTACTAAGTCGTGGCCATCAGATAGTTAAGTCGTGACCAGGAGATACTATGTCGTGGCCTTCAGTTACTAAGTCGTGGCCACGAGATAATTAAGTCGTGGTCACGAGATACTATGTACGAGATAAATAATCGTGGGAACAAGATACTATGTCGTGGCCATGAGTGACTAGGTCGTTGCCACGAGATAATTAAGTCGTGGGAACTAGATACTATGTCTTGGCCACGAGATACTATGTCGTGGCCACGAGTGACTAAGTCGTGGGCACGAGATAATTAAGTCGTGGCCACGAGATACTATGTCTATGGCACGAGTTAATTAAGTCGTGCGCACGAGATAAATAACCAATCACATTACAAAATGTATATGAATTATCTTCATTAACTAGAAACGTGCTTTAGTACACGGATTCCCCTAATTCACCTACCTGTAAAAATGCCCTTTATACAAGTTATTGATTGGTCAATGGTTTTACATTTAGCGTAATTATGACCCTGACTTTTGACCCAATGACCTCAAAATTATTAGGTGTCGTCTACTGATCAGGTGCAATGATCATTCTAGATTATATAAACAATGGCTTATTCTTTCTAAATTTTTATTATGAAAAGTCACGGTTAACTTGACCCTTGACCTAAAACATCCTTATAGGCTATGTACTGTCCATGGGCAATATCTCTACCAAATAAATAAATTAGGACTTATTCCTTCTCAAGTAATCGTATAAACAAGGTTAAAAGGGTTTTGTATGTACAAACTCAGAATTGTCCCCACAAAGGGCTATAACGTAGTCAAAATTAATGTCTGATTTATGGGCCTTGGAAGGTGACTTTCTAATATATATACATGTATTAGAATTACATTTATAAAAATTCACCAATCAGATTACACTAAATATATATTAATATCTCGTGCGCACCACTTAATTATCTCATAGCGACGACTTACTAACTCGTGGGCACGACTTAGTATCTCGTTCCCACGACATAGCAGCTCGCGCCTACGACTTAAAAATCTCGTGCCCACGACTTAGTAACTCGTGGAACCGACATAGTATCCCGTTCCCACGACATAGTATATCGTTCCCACTACTTAATTATCTCGTGCCCGAGACTCAGTATATCGTTTCCACGATTTAATTATCTCGTGACCACGACTTAGTAACTCGTTCCGACGACTTATTTATCTCGTGCCCACGACTCAGTAACTTGTGTCCATGACATAGTATCTCGTTGCCACGACATACATACTATGTCGTGACAAAGACTTAATTATATCGTGCCCGAGACTTAGTATATCGTCCTCACGATTTAATTATCAGGTGACCACGACTTAGTATCTCGTTCCCATGACTTATCTATCTCGTGGCCACGACTTAGTAACTCGTGGCCACAACATAGTTTCTCGTGCGCAAGAGATAGATAAAAACACTCACATGTCACCTTTGTGCCACCGTAGCCAAGAGTATCAATAAATTTTAATGAAAACTTAGGGTGCCCTAGTTTAAGCTTGAGACATATGAGATCAATATAAAAAATAGTTATGTATAATGGTTAAAATTCATCCATGAATGACAATGTTTTGGGACGGACACCGCCATCTATTACTACTTTTAGGAATATTGAAGTACAAGTGTGACATTGAGTTTAAAGCTGGAGACTGTATGCGACACATCAATATAATATTCAAACACATTTTTATTAAATTATTTCAAAATTCATTTGGGAATGACAGAATGTTTGACTCAACATGGCCATTAGTGCACAATTTATGCAAACTTTAATCTGTCAAAAGATGACAAAGGTATGGACCGCAATCAAAGTATAGAACGTACTTTAATCGTTTTTTAGGTTTCATTGACATGTACATTAAGGCTTAAACACCTTTTGCTTTTCACTACTGCAATTTTTTCAGACTGTGTGTTTTTTTATTCAGTATGAAATTGGCACAAAAATTTATTAATAATTGCCCCTTTCATAAATGATATTCTCACATAAACCGCGGCGCAGGAGTGTAATAAAGCCATTTAGTAAAAACGATATTACACTAGTGTAATAACACTTTGACGTGACGTCATTTGCGCTATAGAGAAACATAGCGTTAAAGCGCGCTAATGTTGGCGCTACACTATAAAAGCGTCATTGAAAAATTACTCATTTTAACAGTTTACTGTTCATATTTTATATATGTGATAAATAGAATATTATATTCGTGTAGATTGAATACTAAATTTATTGAACTCGTTGAATAAAACAATATTATGCTCGCCAGAGGCTCGCATAATATGATTTTATTCAACGAGTTCAATAAATTTAGTATTAAACTACGCTCATTCATTATCCTCTATTTATCACATAAACCACCGCGGCGCAGGAGTGTAATAAAGCCATTTAGTAAAAACAATATTACACTAGTGTAATAACACTTTGACGTGACGTCATTTGCGCTATAGAGAAACATAGCGCTTAAGCGCGCTAATGTTAGCGTTACACTATAAAAGCGTCATTGAAAATTTTATGATTATTGAACTACAAAAATAAAGACAAAAGCCGGTTGAACCGGGTGATGCTCCCCGAACAGGTTTTGGACACAGGAAGGTTTACCTCTTGTAGTGTCAGAGTTATGTCACAGACAAAGTTCAAAGTGTAACAAGAGGGCCATGATGGCCCTGAAGTCGCTCACCTGTATATAGGCCCCCGGAGCTAGGCCAGTTTAAACCCCAGGGCTTTTATTTGAACAAACTTGGTAGACACTCATTAGGAGACGTTTCTTGCTAAATATCTAAGCTCTAGGTCTTTGAGTTTTTTTTAAAGAAGATGTTAAGTTTTTACTACACACATATAATGAAAAACAATGACCCTGCCCCGGCGGGTCCAATTTTTAACCCAGGGTTTTTTATTGAACAATCTTGGTAGACACTCACTCAATGGTGGTCTAAACTCTAGCTCTTTAGGTTTTTCAAAGAAGATTTTTTTAAAGTTTTTACTATACACATATATAGAGGATATTGAATGAGTGTAGTTTAATACTAAATTTATTAAAAGGAGTTGAATACAAATCATATTATGCGAGCCTCTGGCGAGCATAATATTGTTTAATTCAACGAGTTTAATAAATTTAGTATTGAATCTACACGAATGTGATATTCTATTTATCACATATATTAAATAAGAACAGTAAACTGTTAAAATGAGTAATTTCTTAATGATGCTCCCATAG